GTCGCTCTCGTGTTCTGATCAGAAGCATGGATCCACGTCTTCATGAGCCAACCTGAGTCTGTGGTTGCAGCGGAGCGTCCTCCTCCCGTGGCGACGCTTCCCTCTTCCCCCATCTCCCACTGACGCCACCACCGTAGAGGAAATGCTTAGCGTGCGGCAGTGGGCTTGGGGGCGTGGGTAGAGGAGATCACCGACCGTGAAACACACGAGAATATTTGGATTGGATCTTTCCAATTGGTGGTGCTGGCCACGTGTGAATATGACATAATATTGGTACGCCTCCATGGCGCCAACGCCCAACGCAACTTCGACAATGGCTTGCCGCAGTTGATTCTCGTCGACCCTCGGGTGGCCACCTTATGTGAGATGTGGGAAGATCGGGAGGCCTGCGGGCGCCTCGAGATGGAGCAAGCCTACGAGGCGTACATGGCGGAGCTCCGCCACCTATACCAGGAGCATGTCGAGCAGGAGCGCCGGTTGTATGAGCTATACAAGTCCGGGGCAGCGGCGGCCATCGATCTTTGCTCCAGTGATGGTGACGGAGACGGGATGGCGGTGGTGGTGGCGACGGAGTGGGGTTCGGCGGTGTTAGCGGAGCGGGCGAGGATGCCATGATTGAATCAAACCGAGAGAGGTTGTTGAATGAGAGCGCTGGTGAGTAGTTTTTTTTAGTTTTTATGCAAGCTAATTTCAATTTCTTTAAGTTATGTAACATAGTTTATGCAAGTAGTTGAATCGAGTTCGAATCAAGTATGGTGTAGTTGTTTGAATCAAATTTGCTCCGAATTTGTGTTCAGTTTTTTTAAGAAGTTCAGTTTAGGACTTTGGTTAGAAGCGATACCTTTTTAGAGGAGCAAATATACTTCACTAAAGGATACTCGTCCATTTGCTCCTCTGACTTACAGAGAATCGGTTAGTGATTCTGTTACGGGGTGTTTTGTAAGAGATTGGCATTTCCTCTTCCCCACTAATCTCCCTCTCGCTGATTTTAACTATGCCCATTTTTCCCTAATGATAGTCTTTTTTAAAAAAATAATCCCTAAGGATAGTTACCGAAGGAAGGATCTCTAACAAGTCTACTTTTTTGTGAGGGACAACTCTGTTGAGCTTTGTACATTAAATGGAATGTTGATAGGACAACTTACAATAACATGGAATACTAAGCCCAACAAGGCGGCCAACACTAAGTTCTAGAGCATACTTAGATAATCTATCTGAAACATGATTACTTATTCTCTCTTCATGCACAAACGTAAATTATCCCTCAGCTCGCTCTGTGATCTCCAATATAATAATCGCATGGGGGTACCTCCAGTTCTTTCCTGCACAACGCTGACTCTAAAGGGGAATCATTTTCAAACACTAATTAAGATTATTCTTAACGCTATGTAGCATCTCAAGCGAGCCGTGCCTTCCATCGGTTTTCTGAAATTCGTTTTCAGTTTTTAAAAATTTATGCATATAGTTTTTTCTTTCCTTTTTGTTTTTTCAAAATTTATGATATAATTTTAAAATTCATGGGAACTTTTTAATATCTAAAGAATTAAAATCTGAAAACATTTTTTGTAACACATGTGCATTTTAAATCTTGAGAATATCTCTCTAAATCTGTGCACAGTTTCTGAATTTACGAATATTTGAAACATTCTTGAACGTTGCCGGGTTTGGCATCCATTACGATCCACCGGACCTAGCGTCATGCTACTTCCCATGAACAACCCGATGAATGTTAAATTTATTGACGACCATACATTAAAATTGACGGATTCAAAGGATCTATGCATATGGATGTACCTTACTGACAACTAAAGATTTCTTCACGACCTAATCATCACACACCGTCGATCGATATGCGGCGCCGACGTTAAGGACCAGGTGTAGCACACGGTCACTCGTAGTATGATTCAAGGAATGTGTCTGCGCGTACATACATATATCTCTGGATTGGCCCTCAAGCCATTGCACGGCTGCACGGCCAGGCATATTTGCACGTTAGCTGTTCATCCACCAATCAGGGTGGCCATGCAACGTAAGAAACAATCAACCGCATGTGAAAACTATATAAACAAACGATCGTGAGATTATGAGCACCACACAACCATCAGCCACAAATCAATATAGGCCGTACTCATCAGCTTGCGCGCTCCAGTTTTCGGATCAGCTACATACCATAAGTTGTGAAGTTTCGAGGCCACACGGCCATAGATATGGCTCCAACTCAAGTTGTTGCAATGGTGCTGCTGGCGGTGGGCAGTGCACTGCTGTCTGCGGCTGCGGACACCGCAGCTGCGCCATCCCCGCAACCCTTCGTCTGGCAGAAGGCGCATGCGACATTCTATGGTGGCGCTGATGCCTCCGACACAATGGGTAATCATTCAAGTCACGCCCTATATCTATCGTGTGTGTGTGTGTCCACTTCATCTAGGTATTCTATCTATTACTTGTGATGTGTATTATATACTGCAGGTGGCGCATGCGGTTACGGCAATCTCTTCTCTGAAGGGTACGGGACACGAACAGCCGCTCTGAGCGCCGTGTTGTTTAATGATGGCGCCGCGTGCGGGCAGTGTTACAAGATTGCATGCGACCGCAAGCGTGCGGACCCGTTGTTTTGCAAGCCCGGTGTTACGGTCACCGTCACTGCCACAAACTTCTGTCCGCCCAACGCCGCCCTCCCCAATGACAATGGCGGATGGTGCAACACGCCAAGGCCGCACTTTGACATGGCCCAACCAGCCTGGGAGAAGATCGGTGTTTATAAAGGTGGCATCATCCCCGTCATGTACCAAAGGTATATATGCGCTTCTTACTCGTTCAGAAATTAGTCCAGAGTCACCAGAGCCATTTAACCTTTAGTTTTCTATGTCACTGCCATACACATGCAGAGTTCCGTGCGTGAAGCGGGGTGGTGTGAGGTTCAAAATCAATGGTCACGATTACTTCAATCTTGTGCTGGTGAGCAATGTTGCTGCGGCAGGATCGATCAAGTCCATGGATGTCAAGAGCTCTGATTCTGATGACTGGATGCCTATGGCACGCAATTGGGGCGCTAACTGGCACTCGTTGGTGAACCTGACCGGAAAGATGCTCTCCTTTAGACTAACAAACACTGATGGACACACTATTGTGTTCAACGATGTTGTGCCAAAGGGGTGGACCTTCGGGCAATCCTTTGTTAGCAAATTGCAATTCTAGCGAGCAATGTCTGCCGACCAATTAATTTATCAGGGCAAGTGATGGATTTGTAATAATTGGTTGCATAAAGTGCAAGTTATGGTGTTTAATGTGGGTGTGCTGCTTGTAGCACTGATCTAATTTTACAATTCAATTTGTTCATACTCATTGTGTAATTCATATGGTGTATATAACATCCAATTAATTCTATCAATTCTGTATCCTACTAATGCACTTATATGATGCATTTTGTAAGTTGATTATGTCATTCTGTTGTACTTTATGGTAAGCTGCTAGCATTCAAGCACAGAAATGTATCCATGTAGAAAACGGAAATTATGTATTCCTTCGGGACATGTATAGTTTTACTACAACTATTTCAAGAGGAAGGGATTTGAACGGAAGTGGTCAGGAGAAAGAAAGTGACTGCTTGTCTTTGATGGTTTAAAAGAAGTAAATTTTGAATATGGAATTGTATACCTCCGGCCAGGTCATTTTTAACCTATTTTCTTTTAATTTTATTTGAACCCGCATCTTCGAAGAGTATAATTTTGAAAGTACCAGTTCTTATTCGTATGCAAAAAAATGAAAAGAAAAGAAAATTCGGTTCTTATAACTAACCGACCACGCTAACTTCCTACTAGTTTTGAAATAGGCTCACACTCTGCTTTATAGATGAAGCACAAATCAAAGTATTCAGATAATCTCAAAATGATCGAACCGTTCAAGGAGAATCTCAAATTGATCGGAACAGTCATATTCGAAGAACAGGAGACGTTGGACAAAGCGATGGTTTTATTATCGGTGAGTCCCTCCCTGATATTCAAATAAGTTTGCTTTCACACCTCCATGGGGCTCAGTCCGTTTGTCCATCAACCGGCATCAACAAAACAGACGCACTACAGAATTCAGAATCAGCATCTAGCTAGTATGCTCATCTCATGTATGCAGAACATAGATCTGGCATGCACCATGCGCGTGTTCAATAATTGTCCATCTTAACATATGTGCCAATCGTGTCGAGGAATTGGCCAGATCATGCGTGGAAGCCGATGATCCTGCCATCGGCGCCGGCGTGGAGCGCGAATGGCACGCCGTCCTTTTTCCCTATGGCCCGTAGCTTGCTCTGTGATCTCCAGAGCTGACTCTAAAGCGGAATAATTTGCATACACTAATTAAGATTGTTCTTAACATTAAGTAGCATACAATTAAGCGAGCGGTGCCTTCCATCGGTTGTTTCAAATTCTTTTTTACTTTTTGAAAACTTATGCACATAATTTTTTAGTTCCTTTTTACATTTTAAAGTTTTTTGATTTTTTAAATAAAATCACGAACATTTTTTAATATCCAAGATTTAAAAATAAAAACCGAGACCATTTATAGTAATACGTGTATATTTTAAATCTTGAGAATGTCTCTTTAAATATGTGCATATTTTCTGAATTTACGGATATTTTACAAATTCTTGAACGTTGCCTGGTTTGGCATGCATTACGATCCACCAGACCTAACGCTCGTCATGCTACTTACCATGAATAAACCGACTAATATTTATTTTCTTGACGACCATACAGTAAACTGGACGGATTCAAAGGATCTATGCATGGATGTACCTTACTAACAACTCAATGTTTCTTCACGACCTAATCATCAGATACCGCCGCGGTGCAGACGTTAAGGATCAGGTGCAGCACACGATCACTCGTAGTATGATTCAAGGAATGTGTCTGCGCGTACGTACATATATATGTGGATTGGACCTGAAGGCATGGCACGGCTGCACGGCCAGGCTCATTTGCACGCTAGCTGCTCCATTCACCAATCAATCAGGGTGGCCTTGCGACGTGGGAATGAATCAACCGCATGTGAAGACTATATAAACAAACAATCGTGAGAATACGAGCATCACATCACAACACAACCATCAGCCAAAAATCAATATAGACCGTACTCTTCAACCTGTGCGCCCAACTCGAGTTGTAAAGTTTCGAGGGCTCCACCTCGAGTTGTTGTGGTGATGCTGCTGGCGGTCAGCAGTGTGCTGTTGTTTGTGGCCGCGGACACCACAACTGTGTCATTCCCATAACCCGCAACCGTTCGTCGGTTCACGCCTCCGACACAATGGCTAATTATTCAAGTCACACAACTACATCTATTTTGTGTGTGCATGCCCGCTTCGTCTTGTTTTTTGTCTATTAACACTTGTGATGTATATTATATAATGCAGGTGGTGCGTGCGGGTATGGCAACCTCTTCTCCGAAGGATACGGGCACGACGGCTCTGAGCACCGTGCTGTTCAATGATGGCACCGTGCGGGCAGTGCTACAAGATCGCATGCGATCGCAAGCGTGAGGACCCGTTGTTTTGCAAGCCATTGCATGACGGTCACGGCCATGAACTTCTGCCCGCCCAACTACGCTCTCCCCAATGATAACGGCGGCTGGTGCAACATGCCAAGGCCGCACTTTGACATGGCCAGGGACGAAGCCAGAAAAAATGGGCACCGGTGTCAACCACTGCCCACGCTAAGCCTTTAGCACAAATTATAGTGGTGCAACAACATTGATAATGGCCGAGAGTGATATAAAAAGCAACAATATGCAGGTGATATTATTATTACATCAAAAAAAAATCATACTGAGTAGCGAGTATTGGCTGAGCAAAGCATAAAATAACACTTCTTTACATATTCCAGAAATAATAGGGAAAAGGATGACTTCGAACGTTTCATTTTTAGCTTTCTGGAAAGGATGAACAAAAGAACATATTAAATTCACAAAATAGTAAGAAACAAATAATGCAGAAAATAAGTATCGTTAAGGAAAAAAGTAAAGTGATACGAGACTCACATTTCATAATTCCCTTCTCGATCTTTCATCTTCTTAAATAGATCAATCACATCATCATTCGTTATTGTAGAAAATATGTCTTTCTCCACATAGCAAATCAAGCAATCACTCATGAACTCGTCACCCATTTTGTTCCGCAAAACACTCTTGACAATATTCATTGCTGAAAATCATCTCTCCACGGACGCTGCGGCAACTGGCAGAATTAGCACCAACTTGAGAAGTTGATACACCAAAGGAAAATCAAGATGCTTTTTAGTTTCCACCAACTCTTTAGCAAGATCGGCAATGCCATCCAAATTGGCAAATCTTTGGTCCGCTCGGACATTGTCTATGAAAATCAGAAGTTCATGACCAAGATCCATCAATTGTGTTGAATTGAAATCATCAGGATAAAACTCAGCTAGCTTCAATAAACTATCCAAGTTAAAAGCAGCGAAGGAGTTTTTTGGGTTGAAAGAAGCCATGTGAATAAGCAATGCAGAATTCACTTCATTGAATCTATCATCGAACTCTCGAAGTTGCCAATCAATAACAGAATTAAGGCACTCTATTTGGTAATGATGAAGATTTGTAATATTGGTTCTTTTTCTTGGCTTATGCCGATCGACATATTCATCATGCATGTTTAGCTTAGGAATGTCATGTTCTTCACAGAATAAATATACCTTCTCTAGAAGTGATTCCCATCCATCATCTCTTAGTTGTTGTAGATCATTCCGTGTTGACTTCACACATGACATGGCATTCAAGATATCTTGATCCTTTTGTTGCAATGCATGTGACAAAGTATTGGCACTCCCTAATATATGAAACATCATGTGCAAATAGAACACACAATCAAAGGTTCCAAAATATGATAGAAGGCCACGTGCTTCACTTTTCTTGGAATCCTTCTTGCCTTCTTTTCCTACATAATTCAGGACACTAACAATTGATGGGAACAACTGGATTAAGCTTGAGAGGGTTCTATAGTGAGAACCCCAACGGGTGTCTCCCGCCCTTTGAAGTGATTGATCTTGATTTAGCCCTGTGCCAGTACTAATTCGTCCACTACTTATGGATTTTTTTACATTTTCTCGATTACTCTCTCTGATCATGTCTTTTATTTTTCAAGAAGCTCCGACCACATTAAATAGAAGAGAGATCATATAAAAGAAATCCGCAATATCTTCATTCTTCTTTGAAATCGCCACTATAACCAATTGAAGTTGGTGATCAAAACAATGCACATAATATGTTGACCTATTCTCTTCCAGAATTTTGGCTTTCAGTCCATTGAACTCACCGCGCATGTTGCTTGCGCCGTCATAGCATTGCCCTCTAACTTGTTTGAAGCTTAATCCAATTTTACCAAGCAATTTTTCGAGAGCTGACTTGAGACACGTTGCAGATGTTTCGCTCACATGTACAACTCCAACTAAATGTTCCAGGATCAGTCCAAGCTTGTCAACATATCTCAAGACAACAGCCATATGTTCTTTATATGACACATCTGAAGCCTGATCAATCAATAAACTGAAAACGTCACCACCAATCTCTTCAAGAATAGAATCCAACGTTATCTGTGCAAAACAAGAGAGAGTGTCATTTTGAGTGCTCACAACAATATAAACAACATGAAATAAATATATAGTAGTGAATAGTGATGGTTGTTATTCACCTTGGCAAAATAACGCACGAGTTCTTTTTGAATATCTGGACACACCCATTTGCAATTTTGTGGAGCATTCTGAAGGAGTACCTTTCTTACATCCTCATTCTGATTTTCTAATGTTTGTACCAACTCTCGAAAATTCCCCTTATTTTTTGAATCCTCCGATTTATCATTGCCACGGAAAGCTAAACCTTGATGTAGCAAGTATCTAACCGATTCAATAGAAGTATTCAGCCGAATACGGTTTTGCTTCTTTGTGATATCGGTTTGCTTGTCGAGGGCAACCTTAATGGACTGATTTTGAATCATTAAAGCATCACATCTTTTAACAGCTACATTGTGAAAGCTATTAACTTCACCCTCATGAGTATCTAGTCTTTGTTTCTGATTCCAACAAGAGAAACCTTTAACAACAAATGCATCATTACCACCTTGGCCATCGATGCAATCTCTAAATAGATAGCAACACAAGCAAAATGCCTTATGCACCTTATCATTGTACTCTAGCCAATGA